GAAGCACCACCACCAGCCTTCTTCGGAAGAAGAAGGTTATGAATATTCGGCATCACACCACCATTAGCAATCGTCACATCCCCAAGCAACTTACTCAACTCCTCATCATTCCTCACCGCCAACTGAATATGACGTGGCACGATCCTAGTCTTCTTGTTGTCCCTCGCTGCGTTCCCCGCCAATTCTAGAACCTACACAACAAACATCCAATTTCAACAATTACCCAAACCGGTCAAAATTAGGGTTTTACGAAAATTAAAACAAAATTAAGGTTAATTTACTTCTGCGGCGAGGTATTCGAGGACGGCGGCTAAGTAGACCGGAGCTCCGGCACCAACACGCTCGGCGTATTTGCCGTTTTTGAGGAATCTGGCGATACGACCGACGGGGAATTGGAGACCCGCTTTGCTGCTCCTTGACGTCGCTTTCTTGGCGACTCCAGATCCGAGGGTTTTTCCACGGCCAGCCATTTGTGTTTACGGAAGAGAGACGAGGCAATGAAAAAAAAATTGAAAGCGAAGCGTACGAAAATTATACAGTGGACACAATTCTCTCATGGATTTATATATATACTACTAATGCGTATAGACGGCAGAGTCATTTTCGTCCAATAGGAAACAATCACGCGGATCGCTGTGAATGCCGTTGGATCAGAATTAGGATCAACGGTTAGTAATAAAGACTCCGAGGATACGCATTGCACGATTGATTGACCAAGTTACCCTTCGGTTAGCTTGACAAAAAAAAAAAAAGGTTATACTACTCACTAGCTAACCGTTTGTTCAAAAAAAAAAACCTTAAATGTTTTGCAGATAAATACTTGTATTTCTTTTCTTTTTTTTTTTTTGTAAAAACTTGTATTTCTTTTGTCAAGAAAATTATCATGCGATCGATACAAATGTGTATTTATTATTTAACAACCTTTTTTTCTTTGGAACAAATTTAACAACCGTTGGAGTATATTTGTAGACGAAGCAGAACCAATGTGTATATACACTTTATGATTTTGGAATCGATTATGATTTATTTCAACTATAAACTTATACATATATATAATTTGATTTTTCTTTTATCTAGCAAAAGAGAAATATTACCATTTTGCATATAATAAAAACTTTATTCTATTTTCATAGATGATTTTCCTTTTGCTTGAGATTTTATATCCAGATCTTATTTTTATAGTATAATTAAACAACCCGACTTTAGATGGTTATAAGTTATGGTTTTTGGGTTGGAAAGACGAATGAAATAGTGGGAACATAGGCAGTTATAGAATAATGGAAAGTATAAACATTTGTAAACATTTATAGGAAACCGTTTAATTTCTAAACAAATTTAAAATATTGTAAAAAGATATTAAATGATAGATATCATTCATATATTGTCAAGCAATTTTAGTTTTAAATATGTATAAAACATTAAAAATCTTACAAAATAAATTCGATGGAGGATTTTTTTTTTTTGTAACATGATGAATTACATAAAATAAAATGGTTGTATCATTAAGCCTTGGCCCAATGGATAAGGCGTTTGTCTACGAAGCCGAAGGTCTGAGTTCCATTTCAGTGAAGTTGAGTTTTTAGTTTTTGTAAGCCGAAGCCGCAAGTAAACCGGATTGAGTTTTCTCTCATCAACCAACCGAACCGACCTAATAACAAATATAAACCAAAATTTTGCTTCTCGAAGAAACAAAAATATCTCTGAAGATTCAATTAAAAACAAGAGAACACAACACAACTCCCATCTCATCATTCTTTTGTCGGGTTTCTTCTCATCATTCGAACGTGGGCTTCGCGTTGTTATGAAACGAGGATTCTCACAGTCTCCTTCCAGCTCTACTCCTCCTCCTCCTTCCTCCAGATTCAAATCCAACCCTCAAGGTTCTCTTCCCCTCTCTTCAATTCCATTAAAATAACTCTCTTGGTTCAAATTGATTTCTCTGAAAGTTGTTTCATTTCTTTTGCCCGTTATAAAAAAAAAATTCTCCTTTATAGTTTAGTTTCATTCATACAATGTAACTTGTTTGTAGGTTCTGTTTTACTGTCTTTATAATTACAAAGTTGGATTCATTGCTTTAAAAAAAAAAAAAATTTGACATTAGGTGAGTCTGAGTTTGATGAAGATGAGAGCACAAAGAACTTTGCACGGAAAGTAGCTGATCATTACAGTCGTAGAACAAACCAAACTTTGGAAGAGAGAGAAGCTAGTCCCATCATCCATTTAAAGAAACTCAACAATTGGGTTTGTTCACTCTCTCCATCATATCTTTAGAGAGAAGAGCTTTTTTTGTTGTTTCATGACATTGATTTCGTTTTTTCTTTTGCAAAACAAACAGATTAAAAGTGTGTTGATTCAGCTTTATGCTCGTCCTGACGATGCTGTTCTTGACCTTGCCTGTGGAAAGGTTCTTCTTCTTGTCTTACAAAAAAAAATCTTATTGTTGATATGCGCATTGTTAAAGTATTGTGTGTTGTGTCTTAACAGGGTGGTGATTTGATTAAGTGGGATAAGGCAAGGATCGGGTACTATGTTGGCATCGATATAGCTGAAGGCTCGGTATGTGACCGATTAATATATGTATTTTTCTTTTTTCTTTTTGAGTTTTCTTGATCTCTGTATGTGACAGATTGAAGATTGTCGCACGCGTTATAATGGTGACGCAGACCATAACCAACGTCGTAAGAAGTTCAGCTTTCCCTCCCGTTTATTATGTGGCGATTGTTTTGAGGTAAGCTCTTTAATAGTAGTTTAAACACACAAGCTCTTGTCATGTTACTATCATATGCGGATGTAACAGCCAAGTCAATGGTTGCAGGTAGAACTAGACAAGGTTCTTGAAGAGGATGCCCCTTTTGATATCTGCAGTTGCCAGGTTTTTTTTTATGTTTCCTCTCAAGATAACATGTTTGGTCACACTAAGTGGTTCCAGATTAGTTGTTAATGGTGAATAGTGTAGTTATTAAAGATACTGAATCTGCCAAGTCATTGTTTAATTGTAGTTTGCTATGCATTACTCATGGACTACTGAGGCGCGTGCACGACGGGCTTTGGCAAATGTCTCAGCTCTTCTTCGTCCTGGAGGTGTCTTTATCGGAACAATGCCAGATGCTAATGTTATCATTAAAAAACTCCGACAAGGTTCTTATTTTTGCTTTCCTCTTTGCTTTAACCCTTTGATCTTTATAAACATTGAGTTTTGCCTTACGGCTTCACACTGAATACACAGCTGAAGGTTTGGAGATTGGTAATAGTGTATACTGGATTCGTTTTGGTGAAGAGTATTCTCAAAAGGTGATAACTCCTTATGTTACTACTTAAGTACTTATAGTTCTTATAGTTTTCTCTATTTCTATTGTAATGATGGCTCTCTTTTATGGTTCAGAAGTTCAAATCTAGCAGGCCCTTTGGTATCGAATACGTATTTCACCTTGAGGTACTTTTCTTCTTGAGTAAACTCACTTAGTACTTTACCTCAGAAAATGAAGCATTGTAGAGTAAGCTTTAGAGAGATGTTTTTATGATAGGATGCTGTTGATTGCCCTGAATGGATTGTGCCCTTTAACATCTTCAAGTCTTTAGCCGAAGAGGTTACTATTTTCCTCTTCTCCATGTTCAAAGGGTTTATACATTTATGTATGACATTGTACCCATGAACAGTATGATTTAGAGTTGGTGTTTGTGAAGAACTCACACGAGTTTGTCCATGAGTATATGAAAAAACGAGAGTTTGAAGAACTCATGAGAAGGCTTGGTGCTTTGGGTGATGGTAACCAAGACCAGAGTAAGTTCTTTGTGTTTTTGATTCTAACCAAATTTGCCTTAGAAATATAACTATTTGGTTGGGACCGTTTTATATTCAGGCACGTTATCAGCTGATGAATGGGATGCTGCATATCTATACCTCTCTTTTGTCTTGAGGAAGGTTTGTCTTCTTTCTTTCAACATCTTTTCGGTTTTCCTTCTTTCCCTCCGTGATTCAGGCATGTTTTAACAGAGAGGAGAATCCGATGGAGGTCAGAGGAGAGGAGGGAGGAGGAAGAATGGGAAAATGAACTTATCTAAAGACGATGTTTTGTATATTGACAACTGATGTGTAAAAGAGTAACTTTAAACAACTGATAGTGTCTGTTTTCGTCTAAGCCTTTTGTTTACTTTAGAAAATATGATCCCTTCATAGAGAAAGAAGACGAGAAGCAGTCCCCAGTAATATAACGAGTATTACTAACCAAAAACCGAAAGGACCAAACTGTTCATATATTTTTATGCCTATAATACTGAAAACTAAAAGAAGTAAACTAAATCAAGAAAATACCCAGAAAGTCATGCTAATTTTATTATCAGTCATGTTTTCGTCAGAAAGATTAAAGTTATAGCTCAAAATCTTTAAAAGAAACATATTTGTTTATAAGTCAATTTTTCTTGTGTTTTTAAGACTTGAAAGTAATTATACAGAAATATAATGTAAAAATACAATCTCAAAACTTACAACTTGAATTTTAAATAAATTATAGTCTCTACCACTCAGCTTTATGTAATGATGATAAATGGGAAGACGACCTATTTCCCCACAGGAACTATGGCATAGTAATAAATGTACACAAAGTTTCGACCTCGACGTAATTGCACACCACATAAGTATAACAACGCTCTTCCACATACGATGAAAGTTCGAAACCCGTTTCCCCCCAGACCAAAATTTAGCTTGGTTTTAATGGTTTATTACATAAATCGATAGTAAACCAGTTAGTATCGGTACAACTTGACCCATATAAAGATCCGACTATGGTTCGATTTAAATCCAACCCGAATCCCCTTTAAAACACCCAAAATTGAGTTCATGACTTTAGAACCCTAAAATAAAATAAAAATTCCAGAGAGAGATTTCATAGCAAGATCAGGAGAATCAGGTGTCCCCGAATCGAAATCAAGTACATCATTCCACTGTACATTCACATCAGTCCATGATTCCATTCTTGATTCCTTAAAAACAGAGAGACACTGAGAGACAAAGAGACAGTTCAATAACGAGAGAGAGAGATGGAGAGAGAGAGAGAGAGAGAGAGAGAGAGAGAGAGATGTCGAAATTACCTGTCTGGAAACAATCGGAGGAGCAACGATGTAGAGGAGCAACGTCGTTCTTTTCAAGTGCAAGAGATTGATGTTTTAGGATTTCTTTTTAATTTGGTTTAGGTTGATTTAATCGGGTTTTTAATCTGTAAACGGGTCATAATCGGGTATTATTGGTTTAGGTGAGTTAGTTATTGGTTAAGTTTAGGTTTAGGGAACACTAACCAATTTTAAACCGTAATTTGTTGATATTAGTTTGATTTACAAACTTTAGGGGGAAACGGGTTTCGAACTTTCATCGTATGTGGAAGAGCGTTGTTATACTTATGTGGTGTGCAATTACGTCGAGGTCAAAACTTTGTGTACATTTATTACTATGCCATAGTTCCTGTGGGGAAATAGGTCGTCTTCCCATGATAAATTTGAGAAAGATCTAGTGTGCTCTGCTCTCTATAAACATCATGAAGACCTTCCGTTTCATTGAGAAACTTTCCTTTTTGACGTCTTGAACAATTTGTAAGTATCAACCCATTATCTTTTGCAGGTTTTTGACAGCTGAAATTAAAGCAAATGGTTGTTTCTTAAATACTCATTATGTTTCAAAATGATTTATGTTTTGTTCTTAAATTTTTTTTAAGGATAATATCATTTTAATATTTTATGTAATAATGGTAAATTGTAAACTTTAAAAAAATTAATTGTGTTTACTAAATTTAATTGAATAAAAGTTATGATAAATAGTTAATCACAAAATTAATATATTTATAATCAAAATTTAATATATTTTAATATCTGTGAGAGTTCCACAACATACATCTTTTTAAAAAGGAGGAAGTACAAAAAATATTTAGTCAACTTGAAGAAATTACACATGAACCTTATAAAATTATATTCATGATGCCTATTAGAGCCTACTTATCATAATTATAGTTATACATTTATTTTTATTAATACTGGGATTTTTTTTGTTGTAAAGTTGATTCATTTGAACAAATCATATAATTAACTAATATGATTTATTTGAAAAAAATCATATAATTAAACTAAAATGTTACAAGATGTCACCATTTATTTCGTACCAACAGCATCATTTGCCTTGTATTGGTCTCACTAACAACATAGTTTATCATGTTGCAAGCATCCGATGTCTGATAACAAAGATAGAATCCTTTTGGTACGTAAAGCTAAAAGATTTATCTCTTTCAGCATAGGCAAACTATATTCACTTTTGTAGATTGATAGGTTAATCATTATGTGATAATCAAAGGCACAAAGTCAAATAATTAATGTTAAAAGAAATAACGTTACTTTCTCTTTAAGATTACTCAGTTTAAGTATTATAAGTATTGTTATCATATAATCTAAGATAATATAATCAATCATGGCATATCGAAAAAGCAGAACAAAAAGTCTGTCCATTATTTGCTCTCTTCGTATTGTTATTATCAACAGTCCTTTATTCCCTTTTCTCTTAACTAAAGTAAATAAATTGTTTTTCTTTGTCAGTTAAATGTTTTATTTACTTCCTATACTTTATATGATGCAAAAATGAGGTATTGCTATCATGCGGCCACAACAACTTAATTTAATCTGTCTTAGAACATCTCTAACCCAAAACTTTAGTTTAAAGGGAATAAACCTTCAAAATGAAAATTTGAGGCTTGATTGCTCCAACTATGAATCTTCAAAAATCTTTAAATATTTATCTATTTGCATTGTAATCCTTAACATTAACAAAGAGTACTAATAATGATAAAACTTCACATATATATAAACATACATTTAATATATTATTAAACATATAATATTATAATACTATATAATAAAGATAATATAAATTATATATATAATAAACTAATACACTTACAGATGAATTTTAGAAAGTTACGTATAAAATATCAAATTTTGATATCACTTGTAAAATATGTAATTTGTTTTAATTTGTGGTAGGTTTGTTTAATATATTTTTCATTTTGTGTTATACTTACTGTATATTGCTACTGTGTGAATTTTATTGTAATGTTATATAATATTTATCTTATTTTATTTTATTTGAGTGTATTTAAGTTATTCTAAATAAAGTTAGTAGATATATTTGTGAAATGATATAATTGAAAGGAATAAAAAAAAATGAATAGTAGTTTTGAAATTTTGAATAGTGAAACCTCAAAGTTGATTTCACTATTCACAACTTAAAAATTTGAAAATTTAAGGTTGGATTAGAGTGATACAAAACTTCAAAATTTGAGGATTTGAGGTTGGATTGGAGATGTTATTATGCTATTAACCTTTTTCTTTTTTTTTCTTTTGGTCTTATGCTATTACCATTGTCCAAATATAGACGACTATCCTCGTACTTTTAATTTATAGAGATCAACGTGTTGACAAAAAAAAGAGACTATTATGTAAATATCAAGTGTACTAAAAATGTATAGAAACACTACTTATGTGTCTTTTGAACAAATAGCACTACTTATGTTATATCTCCCTGCAACCTATATATATGTTATATCATCAACTAATAGTCCAGTGCCATATTGTCTTTGATGTTTTCAACTATAATATTTCATAAACAATATTACTATGTCATGTGTCAAAGTGTAAAATCATCTAACTAAATTTTGGTATTAACAAATGTGGTAACTCAAAAGAAAGCGTAACTGATTTAAAACTAAAACTTGACTGCTTGGACCACTGTTGTAGATGAGGAACTAAGAGTCCAGTGCTATATTGTCTCTTTATTTTTATATTATTTTATCAATAATAACATGTTAAGATATTTCTTAAAGAAGAAGACGAGAATATTTTTTTTCTTTTGTAACTGGTAATATATTTTTTTATGAGGTCGATATATCATCCAGTTAAATAAATAAAAAGTAAAATAAGTGAATGTTATGTCAACTGAAAGTCCTATAAAAATACATCGTAGTAAATATATATCACATACAAAATCAGAATTAAGGGTATTTGATCAAATAAAATATTCTTACGAGGGTATTTTCTTAGTCATGTCAACCCCTATTATACTAATTATAAAACAGCAATCGTTAATGAGCTCAGAAAAAAGAATTATGATTTGGTCTACTTCTGTGGGGCTTGGGTGGTTGGGGAAAGTTGGTGACGATAAATACATTTTGGTTATTGATAAATTATATACTCGACAATTAAACTTTCCACTTAATTAAATGTTTTTTTCATTACATAATTAGTTGAAGAAGATGTTAGCTTACTCGAATAACATAATTCATAATTCTGATCATATTTGGCTTAAAGAAACCATATCAGTTAATTAGTTTTGTAGTCAATAGAAAACGTTATGATGCATTATCTTTTTAATTATAGTACGTTTTGAACGTTCAATTATAAAATGTTTCAGTATAGTCTCAATATATTATTTAAAAGCAAAAGTGGCCAAGCCGAAGACAGTCATACATGAACTATAAAGGTCGGGGTTTGTTTTCTTGTTGATTGTTACTTTGAAAACTCACACTAATTGAAAGTATAAAAATAGTTATTTATAAAATGAGAGGAGCACTTTTAAATTATACTACCAACAAACCAGAAATAATATTGAATCATCCAGACTCCAGACTCCAGTCTCCAGAGGAGAAGTCATCAATCTAGATGTGAAGTCTAAACACTAGTTGACCTGAATATAACTTCTCACAGATCATTTAATTTTGTATACATCTAAATGTATGATAACAAAATAATTAATATAATCATATCTTCGCGGGGGAAGAATAATAAGCAAGGACTTATTCTTGGGTTCACCCCCTAGGGTGAACCTCTAGGTTCACCATCCAATAGAATTGCATCATTTTATATTTGATATCTTTTTAAAAAGGAAACAAAATCTTATTAAGTTATATTGTGTGTTTTAAATATAAAAATACAAAAATATTAAAAAAATAATAACTAAGAAAAAGGAAAATAATTATTTAAAAATAGATATTTTAACATTAAATTCTAAAGTCTAATCTTAGGTAAATCACAAACCTTTGGATAAATCTATAAAAATTTAGTGTTTATGATTTACCCAA